TTTAAGTATACACACAACATTATTTTAGTATAATTTAGCAGGAGCCAGGAGACTTGCAAGTGCAGAGCAAGAGTCATTTCCAGACATCCTTGTCCTCAATGTATTCCTCGACATTATTATAAGCCCTTTCCATTAAGGTGGCTTTTACAAAATGTTTGAAATTATTTACACTTAATTGTTTGTGGATGTCACCTATTCTATTATATAAGTTAATACTTCTACCAAGAAACGAGATCCTGGTTTTAGCTAAACCTCGGTATTTCCAACGTGTCACCTCGGCCTCGACGCGATGTGATATGTTCTTTTGTAAAATGGTGTATGTTATTTCGTACATATATATGATGTTCTCATGTATGTATAGCGATGGGAGCTTTAAGATGTTTATTTGTTTAAAAATATGCCGTAGGGACTCACGTGGACCCAGGCCATAGACAGCCCGTATCGCTTGCTTTTGCAATACAAATATCGTGTCTAAACCCGATGCGGAACCCCAAAGTAAGACACCATAAGGCATAATACTGTGAAAGTAAGAATAATAAACTAATTTAGCTGTTGCCTCGTTTGTTAGTTGCCTGATCTTGCGTATGGCAAAGACGGCAGCGCTGAGCTTTTTAGCTTATTTATCTATATGCGCTCCCCATTGCAACTTGGAGTCAATGCATATTCCAAGAAATGCCGTTCCAAGGAATTCCAAGAGGTAGGATGTTGTCATCAATAAAGATTCCTGGTTTGTGAGACAGCTTTGATAATGAAAATCTGATACATTTAGTCTTAGTGGCGTTCAAAAGTAAATTATTGGTCGCAAACCAGCCCGAACACGACACTTAGTATTTAATTTGGTTGCTCTAATGTAACATCTTTCCTATTAACCTTAAACAACAGTGAGGTGTCATCCGCAAACAAAACGATTTGAGACCTTTTTTCTACCACATATGGCAAATCATTTATGTAGCCTAAAAACAGAAATGGGCCCAGGATCGATCCTTGAGGAACACCCATTTGTACTATTGATCCCGATGACAGTATACCATTTATAGTTTGAAACTTTTTGTTCCCGAACGCTAAGATATGAGGAAACAAAATCAATGGCAGATTTTCGAATACCTTAATATTCCAATTTCTTAATAAGAATCTTATGATCTACACAGTCAAATGCCTTGGAGAGGTCACAGAACACACCAATGGTGTCATGGAATGTTTTCCAAGACTGCAGGATATGCGAAATTAACTCTACTCCAGCATCAGTTGTAGATCTACCTTTCGTAAATCCGAACTGCTGCTGGTTCAAAATTTATTATTCTGAGATCTGTGCTGCCATATAATCAGCTCTTTCATCAGAAAAAGTTAACTTTTGATGACAAAGGCTATGGCTGATCTAAGAGATTGCGGCAGAAGGATTGAAAAAGACTGTTGAATTACCACTACTTTCCTCTCTGTTCACGTAAAGGACGTACACCAATTTTATATACGGACGCAAGTTCATCGACAGCACTACTCATCGCTTTGTAAAGCAGTATAAATAATTATATGTATCGACTGAAAATGTTAACGATAATTTGGATATCGAAGAGTAAAGAAGGGTGGTGTCTAAAGTAAAATAGCAGCCTGTGATTTTCTTTATTATTTAGTAAAGATGCGGGTCTCTCGCAAAGTTTTCTTCACCGACAAGTGACAAATTGGCACTTAACAACTTAATTGGTGTAGGCAACGGAATTTGAACTAAGGTAACTTAAAAGCAAGCTTTTTACTTTTGGCTTTGTTTGATCACCATAAAACCCTCACATATTAGAACATTTCACGAACGGATTTACTTTAATATAAAAGTTACTTCATCATCATCATTTCAGTGCGACGGAAATGATTGTACAATTGAGTGTTCATTGCTTCTATGCCATATGTCTCCAAAACTGCACTTCGTTATCCGCGGAAAAATCCCAATTTCGCCCGAGCCAGTTTCTGTGGTAGGACTCCGCAACAGTATTCACAGTTGCACGAATGAGCAGGTCCATCCGGTTTAGACGACCTCACAGAAGACCATCGTATAGTAGAAGTGTTCCGCTTCTGTGTTTCGTCTGCTGAGTTCAGCTGGTTTGCCACTTTTTCACATAAAAAAAGTCAGAATCACAGCTTAATTTTTTTTTCTTTTGTAGTGAAGTTACTTTAAGAAACTGAAAATGGTAGTGAAAGCATTATAAGAACACTGATATTACGCGCAGGGGCGTGATGTTATTCGCAGGAAGGCCGCTTGCAGTAAGCGAATATAAAAACTCAAACGGGTAATATGTGGCGTTGTGATTAGTGCAGTAACGATACTGTTAAGATGTTTAAACGACCTCAATTTCGGCATTTTTTTTCGTTTATTGTAGTGGCTTGGTCATTTCTTTTGAGTGACTATTTCGCGTTCACATAATCAAGAATTTTCGTAATGTGGCACCAAGTACTGAAATTATCAGTTCGCTTTCTGAGGAAGCGACTCTAATAATAATGTCCGTAAGGCACACGCGACCAAATTGAAGGATGCCTCCTCTAAATTAAAAATAAACCAAAACAAACCATCGGGAAACTCTTGGGCATGTGAATGATCAATCCAGTGCTAACTGAAAATTTTGTATTTGAGGCAAAAAAGGGAAATCTCTAGAGAAATCAACTGTACGTTCTCCATTTAGTTTTCATCTAAACGTATGTTCTGTAGTGGTCTGCCAACGGTCTAAAATCTTATCGACTCTCAATGTGCGTGATAATGAACGGCCCTATCATTAAAACCTAAACTCCATTAAAGTGTTACACGAATGAGCAGGCTCGTCCGGGTAAGTACCACGACCTCATAGAAAACCAGCGTAAAGTGGAAGTATAACACTTTCACGTTTCGTCTGGTGAGTGAGGTGGCCAGAGCCCAATTTTCAAAAGGTTGTCAACGCATCTGGTACCCTCGGGTGTAGCAGATGTCCATGTAGCAGGTGTCCACTTAACATCAGGTGAACCGTCTGCTTGCTTGGCAACTTTTCTCATAAACAAAAGCCATTGATATACTGGCAAAACTGTATACACTTGTATCATTTTATCGATCCAATAATTGCGCCCCCGCATTTGAGGTCGGCCACCGATATACCCTGCCTTGCAATAAATTATTACGGTATTTTCCAACTTTCATCTACCTCATGTAGTTAAATAGTTTATGATCGTTAAAATGTGTCTTTGGCTTCTTCTGATTGTATGATTCTAGAAGAAAATGGTGAAAACTTTCGTTGTGGCAATATTTGGACTTGCTTCTTAATTTAACAGCATCATACACTCCCTGACTTAACTACTTTTGCACCGATATTCTTAAGGTTAATAACAGACATAAGACCGGCAAGGCGTATCTTAAGCGAGTTTTCAACAACATTTCGAAATAAAGTAAAAAACAATTCCGCCTATTTGTAATCTGCAGTGCCGAACGTACTAAAACCAGTTAATGTAAACAAAATATGGTAGTTAAAAACCGGCCAATTGCGAGTCAGACTCCCGCGCGAAGGGCTCCATACCATTAACTGCAAAAACGGCAAGCATGGCCTGTTATATGGGAGCCCCATTTGAATATTTTTATTCTGTTTTTGAAGTGAAACTTCTTTATCGGGGTTGGAAAAAATTTAGTGTAACATTTTTGCGTTACGCGCCATCTTTTTCTCATCTTAAAATGTTCCTCTAACGCCATCTAGTGTTGAATAGGGGGTTTTATGTCGTCTTTATTCTTTAGTGGTTTTAATAGTTGACGCTAGATGGCGTTAGTTCCTTCGTTTGTTCATAACAATATATATATATATATATATATATATATGTTATATTAAAGTGATCAGCAAAATCAAAGGGTTTATTTTAATTCTAATATGTAAACAATATATTTCGTATTTCAGTTACCATAAGCCATTAATAACACAAATATATAATAACGACATCAATGATAGTAATAATTCTATTACAATTAATGAAATTCAATAATAATATTTGTAGTAATGAGCAGTGCTAGCTCTAATACTTCAGAGCACGACACTGTAGAGACTTCCTCTTCTCCAAAGGCAGGCACTGCCCACCGTGACCTGACTGCGCCGTCCACCGAAGACACAATCTGAAGCTGACCGATGATGCTCTTCGAAGCCTCGATCGGCTCCTGGAACTTGCGGTTGCGATGTCGATCCAACGTCCGCAAGTTCGGTTTTCCAAAAAAACTTCACTCACAACACTCGCGCGCGAGTCGAATGTCTGCCTTCTACTCACTGGCTGACTATTCGGCAACGAAGGACCATGTACAAATTCAAAGCGGTTGTATTTTGGGTCCGTGAGATTAATTGAAATAAACAAGGTTCACGTTGCAAGTTTTTTAATCAACAATTTTTGCGGACCCACATACTAATTACAACGGTCAAACCATAGTGAGTTTTAATTTACTACTAACGCCACCTATGTATTACAAATAAGAAACTAGAAGAATTTGTATTTATGTCTATGATAATAAAAGCCTTTTATTAAACTTTATCTAATTTAACTTTATTTAACCAATTTCTTTAAAGTTGCATATAGTAAATTATTTTTTGAAAAATAACGTCATAAAAAAGTTTCACTTCTTACGAATGTACGCTAGTACACGCACACATTTTTTTTTGTATTTGTTGTTATAGCGGTAACAGACATACATATTTTGTAAAAATTTCAACTGTCTAACTATCACGGTACGTATCTAATGAAATACAGTATGGTTACAGACGGACAGACAAACAGCGGAGTCTTAGTAATATGGTCCCGTTTTATCCTTTGTGTGCGGAACCCTAAAAACCAGTGAAAACCACTTACCTGCAGATCTTGCCTGAAGCGGGCCCTGGTTGATTCATGTTTGACAGGACACGTTACGTTGACACCAAGGCTTAAAACATTAAGTTCCAATTCACCGAACCTGTGTGGATACAGGGAAGACGTAGACCGCGGCCTGCCCATACTGCTCAAAGATTCTTTTCTATTCTCTATCACTTACCAGAGGAACCGGTCACCTCCTCATCGGTATCCAGCGGCCTGCTCTGCTGAAGTTTGGTCGTTAGCTCCAGCTGCGAAAAAAAAACATCGTTAGGATTTAAACTTCATAACAATACTTATTTATTTGTCACAGGATCAAGATGTGGCGCTATAATTTGATTACAACACCATCTATTGGTAGCTCTCGGAAAGAGTCAAGTAGTGCGCTTGAGTAAGGTCGATGCAAGAAGTGAGAGAGCGGACTTGACGGTTATGAGTTGTGGAAGTCAATTGACATCGAACACGGGGGTGTGTTCTGGACGTGCTCGGGCACGCCACTTAGAAAAGGGACGGCGGTGCGAACGGTCATCTTCCTGTATCCAACTTGCTACGTTTCCATTCAATTACATCCATTCAATTACAGTGTGGTTAATAATTATTTTCGTTATTGTTGATTTTATTGGAACAAGTTAATTACAATGAGGGATCTGACAACGAGTTGCCCTATGTGATCCACCTATCTCCGACGTCTGAAGTGGGATTCGACTACCGTGTTTTAGTCCGTACATCCTGATATGAAGCGTTTTTGGCTGTTTACAATCAGTGAATATTTTTTTTTGCGTGCTTACCGTCGTAAAACAAAAAAATGTTAATGGTGATAAAATCTTTTGATTAAGTGTAACGACAGTTTTGGTGAGTACGTTCCAGTTATTTTTTTTTTTTTATTAAACAGTAAGTAGAAGTTTATTAGCGAAAACATTTTGTAATATCGTCTTATTAATTGTTTACAAGGGGATAAAAAACGTGGGTTAACGAATGGGTAACAAATGACTGTTGGAGTAACTTTAAAAAGGAGTTTGTGTCCTAGAAAACCTGACATAGCGAAAATTTTGGACGAAGTTATGAGTTGCAATTTGAATAAGTTCTTTCATCATATATAATATTTCATAAGTCATAGACTGACTATACCCGTCGGTTCCTTTTATAGTTATGCGTCGTCAGAAGCTGTAATAGCAATAGCTGTAATACGGGGCATTACTGAACCGCAAAATGATCTTTGTTCTTTTTTGAATAGGTAACTCAGTGGTACCTGGACTCGTTTTTGTAATAATTTTTGCGTAGCGTAATTTTAGCGTAAGCCTAAGGTTTACTTGTTTCGTTAAAATTAAATGCAGGCTTCTGTCGAATCTTGAGTTTTGTTGAATTTTGATAAATGAGATGTCAACAAACTGATGTCTTCCTAGTTGGGTCAGGAGTGACCGAGCTATGTGATACTGTGTGAAAAATATTGTTCCAGATTAACACACGAGGGTGCTTTTCATGCAGGACGTCAGTGTCGTAGCCAGAAATGAGTATGGATATTAAACGAAACGAAAACGCGCCATGGGATGTGACCATACGCCAAACGTGAGATGTGACCATACGCTTCTACAAGAACGTTTGACGTCGGGCCACTACGATAGGCGTGCATGCCTATTTATGTTCGAGCTTTGGTGATATAATATCAGTTTCCAGAGAAATTGGTGAGAACTTAATGATGATGAAGGGGTCAGTCCTTCATGTGACAAGTGACCTATTTTAATCGTTAGGATGCCGGATGGAGGCATGATGCTGTTTATGGGTAATGGTTAAGCCCCACTTGCGTGCCGGATTTAGGCATGGCATTGTTTAGTGGGTACTGGTTAAGTCCCGCTTGGTGCTGGATTTAGGCAAGGCAGTGTTTAGTGGGTACTGGTTAAGTCCTACTTGCGTGCCGGATGTAGGCATGGCATTGTTTAGTCGGTACTGGTTAAGTCCCACTTGGTACTGGATTTAGTCATGGCATTGTTTAGTGGGTACTGGTTAAGTCCCACTTGGTGCTGGATTTAGGCAAGGCAGTGTTTAGTGGGTACTGGTTAAGTCCTACTTGCGTGCCGGATGTAGGCATGGCATTGTTTAGTCGGTACTGGTTAAGTCCCACTTGGTACTGGATTTAGTCATGGCATTGTTTAGTGGGTACTGGTTAAGTCCCACTTGGTGCTGGATTTAGGCAAGGCAGTGTTTAGTCGGTACTGGTTAAGTCCCACTTGGTACTGGATTTAGTCATGGCATTCTTTAGTCGGTACTGGTTAAGTCCCACTTGGTGCTGGATTTAGTCATGGCATTGTTTACTGGGTACTGGTTAAGACTCACTTGCGTGCCGGATTTAGGCATAGCAGTGTTTTGTGGATACTGGTTAAGCCCCACTTGCGTGCCGGATTTAGGCAAGGCAGTGTTTAGTGGGTACTGGTTAAGTCCCAATTGCGTGCTGGATTTAGGCAAGGCAGTGTTTAGTGGGTACTGGTTAAGCCCCACTTGCGTGCCGGATTTAGGCAAGGTAGTGTTTAGTGGGTACTGATTAAGTCCCACTTGCGTGCAGGATTTAGGCAAGGCAATGTTTAGTGGGTACTGGTTAAGTCCTACTTGCGTGCCGGATGTAGGCATGGCATTGTTTAGTCGGTACTGGTTAAGTCCCACTTGGTACTGGATTTAGTCATGGCATTGTTTAGTGGGTACTGGTTAAGTCCCACTTGGTGCTGGATTTAGGCAAGGCAGTGTTTAGTGGGTACTGGTTAAGTCCTACTTGCGTGCCGGATGTAGGCATGGCATTGTTTAGTCGGTACTGGTTAAGTCCCACGTGGTACTGGATTTAGTCATGGCATTGTTTAGTGGGTACTGGTTAAGTCCCACTTGGTGCTGGATTTAGGCAAGGCAGTGTTTAGTGGGTACTGGTTAAGTCCTACTTGCGTGCCGGATGTAGGCATGGCATTGTTTAGTCGGTACTGGTTAAGTCCCACTTGGTACTGGATTTAGTCATGGCATTGTTTAGTGGGTACTGGTTAAGTCCCACTTGGTGCTGGATTTAGGCAAGGCAGTGTTTAGTCGGTACTGGTTAAGTCCCACTTGGTACTGGATTTAGTCATGGCATTCTTTAGTCGGTACTGGTTAAGTCCCACTTGGTGCTGGATTTAGTCATGGCATTGTTTACTGGGTACTGGTTAAGACTCACTTGCGTGCCGGATTTAGGCATAGCAGTGTTTTGTGGATACTGGTTAAGCCCCACTTGCGTGCCGGATTTAGGCAAGGCAGTGTTTAGTGGGTACTGGTTAAGTCCCAATTGCGTGCTGGATTTAGGCAAGGCAGTGTTTAGTGGGTACTGGTTAAGCCCCACTTGCGTGCCGGATTTAGGCAAGGTAGTGTTTAGTGGGTACTGATTAAGTCCCACTTGCGTGCCGGATTTAGGCAAGGCAGTGTTTTGTGGGTACTGGTTAAGTCCCACTTGGTACTGGATTTAGTCATGGCATTGTTTAGTGGGTACTGGTTAAGTCCCACTTGGTGCTGGATTTAGGCAAGGCAGTGTTTAGTGGGTACTGGTTAAGTCCTACTTGCGTGCCGGATGTAGGCATGGCATTGTTTAGTCGGTACTGGTTAAGTCCCACGTGGTACTGGATTTAGTCATGGCATTGTTTAGTGGGTACTGGTTAAGTCCCACTTGGTGCTGGATTTAGGCAAGGCAGTGTTTAGTGGGTACTGGTTAAGTCCTACTTGCGTGCCGGATGTAGGCATGGCATTGTTTAGTCGGTACTGGTTAAGTCCCACTTGGTACTGGATTTAGTCATGGCATTGTTTAGTGGGTACTGGTTAAGTCCCACTTGGTGCTGGATTTAGGCAAGGCAGTGTTTAGTCGGTACTGGTTAAGTCCCACTTGGTACTGGATTTAGTCATGGCATTCTTTAGTCGGTACTGGTTAAGTCCCACTTGGTGCTGGATTTAGTCATGGCATTGTTTACTGGGTACTGGTTAAGACTCACTTGCGTGCCGGATTTAGGCATAGCAGTGTTTTGTGGATACTGGTTAAGCCCCACTTGCGTGCCGGATTTAGGCAAGGCAGTGTTTAGTGGGTACTGGTTAAGTCCCAATTGCGTGCTGGATTTAGGCAAGGCAGTGTTTAGTGGGTACTGGTTAAGCCCCACTTGCGTGCCGGATTTAGGCAAGGTAGTGTTTAGTGGGTACTGATTAAGTCCCACTTGCGTGCCGGATTTAGGCAAGGCAGTGTTTTGTGGGTACTGGTTAAGTCCCACTTGCGTGCCGCATGGAGACATTAGAGAATTTTGTGTTGAAATTGGGCACCGGATTTAGGTCTCGCTTATTTGGTCTCGGTTGGAGACAGCAGGTTGAGGCGAAGAGTATTGCATACTAGACTCATTGATTTCAGATTGAAAGTTATCAGTTATTTATTTCGATTATAACCAGATAAACTGTTCATAACATGCGGTTTAGCATAAGACGATGTTGGCTTAAGCTTGAGATGCTTCACACGAGGACGTGTGAATTGTCAGAATGGCCGTGTCGCAGGATCAAGATGTGGCGCTATAATTTGATTACAACACCATCTATTGGTAGTTCTCGGAAACGTCAAGTAGTCCGCTTGAGTAAGGTTGATACAGGAAGTGAGAGAGCGGACTTGACGGTTATGAGTTCTGGAATTCAATTGACATCGGACACGCGGGTGTATTCTGGACGTGCTCGGGCACGCCACTTAGAAAAGGGACGGCGGTGCGAACGGTCATCTTCCTGTATCCAACTTGCTACGTTTCCATTCAATTACATCAGTGTGGTTAATAATTATTTTCGTTATTGTTGATTTTATTCGAACAAGTAAATTACAATGAGGGATCTGACAACGAGTTGTCCTATGTGATCCACCTATCTCCGACATATTTATATATTTTTTGAAGTTATACTTCTTTCGGCGCCTTCGGAAAAAAAATATGAGTGTAATATTTTATTGGCATGCGCGCGTGGATCAACGGAAGAGGCGACATGAAATAGTTGGTTGCAAAGCGTTCAACTTCGAACGTGCATTTGGTACCTATTACCAATACGGATTAAATTTTTAGTTATTTTTCTTTTGAAAGAAGCATAACTTTTCGTGCGTACACGCGTACTTTTTTATGATTAAAATCCCTATTAGGCTGGGATTATATTGTAATTTAATTTTGAAAATATCTTTTTTTCACCAAAAATGTGAGCGACAAATTTCCATGTTCTTCTTATCTATATATAAAAAAATAAATCCCTATTTCCCTTGGTCACGCCATCAAGCGTAAACGGCTGGACCGATTTCGCTTTTTTTCTTGTGTTTGTTATTATCAGGAGAAGTTTCTTATCAAAGAAATAATTTAAAATTGCCTGAAAAAGTCTAGAAACTAAATTTTTCTGTATTCCCGTACAAAAGATTCGTAATAATACTTAAAAGTCAATTTGAACTTTAACACGATACCATAAAGTTTAAGTGTTAATGGAGGGGTTCCGGGAAGGCAAAACAAGTGAGTGACTGTGGTAAAATGTCACTTGAAATGTCTTCCCGCTGTCTGTCTGTCCCTATGTATGCTTAGATCTTTAAAATAACGCAACGAATCTTGATGCGTTTTTTTTACTAGATAGAGCGATACGAAGCCGGGGAGGGTCGCTAGTCTTAGTAATTATTGGTTAGCTCAGTTGAAACTCAAATACAGCAATTCATCGACAGCGCCCTACGAATAAGCGATTACTACTAGAATTTTAAAATCAACATTTAGATTCTATATTGAAATACGAATGCAAACAAAGAGATTTATCAATATGCCTGATGTTCAAGAAATAACTGCGTAGCAACGCGCAGGGGTGACCGCGGCCGGCAACAGGGTGGGGTGGTAAGCCCACATCGCTACCCGTAGGGTGGAATATTGATTTATAGCTCCGATGAAAATTACGCGCAATACCGGTCTGTCTGGTTTGAAAATTAAATTAAGTTAATGTCTACCTACAAGCAAAATTGAGCACTGATTAACAACAAATAAAAAACAATTGTAAAGTCATAGTCGCTTATCAATCTCCCGTGTATAAGTTCATGCCAATTTAAAACTTTATACTAGCTCAAATTACGTATAATTATTTTATTTATTGTTTACAATCTTTATTGATCTAATATTTACAAGATTAAATCTATCTAAAATTACATATTATCTAATAAACCTAATCCACGCGGCAAGGTGCCAAGAACGCTAGCTGCATTTCCTCGCTGAATTTTATTTATCGATTACGAAAGTAGCTTCTCTTTGGAGTTGTAAAACTTAATGTGAAAAGTTTTAGTTAGACGTGTCATTTAAAACCCTATCATTTGAACAAAGAGATAATAAAGACAACCCTAATATAATTACGCAGTCGTTGAATACGAGAGCGTATCACTGCGCAGTATCCGTACCCTACCGGCGGGGCCACGCGCCCGGGCCAACGGGGTGGAGGTGAGGGGATGCGGCATATTGATTTATCGCTTCGTGAAGTATAATTTGCAAAGGTGTATCCGACCAACGGCTGTACTTCCATCGCTCGCAAATTGCGCAAGGATAAAAATCGCTCATTATTATAATCAGCATAACTAAATTTTACCGATCAATTTGTTACAACGGAGTATGGTGACGCATTTTTTGATCCTGTAGTTTATATGGATTAAAATTTTTGTTAATTCATTCCTCTCTAACGGTCTCTGCTAATATTTTGAAAGAATGAAATGAATTTAAGTGCCTGATGTTTTTTTTTTTTTCTCCTTTTTATATAGGAGGGTTCAATCAGACATGATTATGCCACCCTCATAGGCATTCATAAAATATGTAAATAAAAACTTACGATTTACGCTTAGTAACTTATTTCACCAATTTAAAATGATCGATGTTTCAATTAATTTACATGACACAGTACCAAATAGAGTGTACGGGAGTAATGTAACTACTGTCTTGTATCAATTTTCACAATAATCATATATCCAATCGTTACGTACACTCTCCTAGACTCAACCCGCTATAGAATAGTCAACATTTTTTATAATTACTTATGAAATAAATTTATATATTACATAAATATATTTTCTCAACTTAGCGTTCCTAATGATTGCAGACAAGGCTTTATAAATTCAAAAATTAAATATGACCAGTAAATTACCGCGAAAGAAAATTAAAGGACATCAGAATCAGGAAAATAGAAAGATGAAAGGCAACCCTACGTTTGATATACAAAACTCAATAAGAAAATTGATGGCAGTGAATGCATCCCTTTGTTTACAGCAACCCCTGTTTTATTACGCCCTTAATAATCATATTACAGGAACGGGCGCACAGGTAAGCCGCGATGGGGAGAGGGTGCCTAACATTGATTTATTGCCCTTGAGCAACAGCGTTCATGTTCAAACTTTTTACTCCATCAATCGCACATTTTTATATGGCTATCATTGATATGAGTAAGTCCTGACACAACTAAATTGTGCATTTAGAATAATTTATAGTTATATATTAATCAAGTGTCATTAAATAGTGACAGCAACGATTGCCAACATTTGAGTGAGTAGTTAATCATAAAACATGATGACAGTTAACAAGTCGCGAGAACAGTTATCGTTTAGATAAATCGAAGTAAACAAAAATGTCTGTAACTGAATAATCCGTAGAATTTATATGATGAATTCATTTATATAAATAGACGCGTATCCCGGGCGGTAGCTGAGGGCCTCAGGGGCTTATCCCAATGTCGCATGGGGTGTTGAGGGAGGCGGGAAGAAGGGAAGAGGGGAGGGGGGGGGGGAGATATTGATTTATCACCTGAACGAGACTATTGCGCAGTACTGTTTAACAGTACTGATTACAAAAAAATGTGCATAACATTAGAACCACTGAAGAATACAATAAATAAGGCATAATACGCAATCAAACATAGTCGAGAACATAAACAAACATGAAAAAAAAGTATCGTCAACAACTTCGATTCAAACGGAACCTAGGGACGCTCGTACACAGTGCAAAATCGCTCGCCACGTCGACCATGTGAACAGTGTTGTCAGAGTCGGGCCGAAATTCGCAATGGACGCGAGCCACTCACCAAATCGAGGTCCCGCCGGCGTCAGGCGTACCCGCCGGGCTCCCTGAAGGTGTTTCGGGAGATCACGCCCATCTCGATATTTCTCGGCCGTCTGGTGGATGGGAAGAGTCGTTGGATGCAAGCGGGCCGCTGCGCCGATGGCCGGGAGGAAAGTGCAGCGCCGGGCCGATGCGTCAGCCTCCGCTTGCAGGGGTGGCGGGGCTGGGGGGCTGGGTGGCTGGGGGGGCGCACAGGGGTGGCCATATTGATTCCGTACACCATCCCGCGCACTCGTCCCAACAAAGGCGGAGCCACTCAATTGCATCTGAAGCGGCTTTGAACCCCCGAAATGGCGCGGCCGGAGATTACCACGATATCTTCGATGGGTCTACTCAGCTTCATGCTGATGTTGGAAAACTACCTCGACGAATTGTTGAGCGACCCCGACCTCGTTGTTCTATGCTTTATTTGTCTTCGGTTAATTTTTGCGATGATCAAAAATATGACTAAATAAATTGTGTATGTAATAACAAAAAAAAATAAAAATATGCACAAAAAATTATTATGTGGAGTGGAACAAATATATACGTTGAAATTATTATTTATTATTTTATTACTCTTAATCCTTACAACCTTAGTTTTACTTTTTTATTTGAACATTTGTTACTATCAAACTACAATAGTTACAAAAGGGAATATTCTGTAGCATTATTTGCTTTCATGAATACCTTATTGTTTAACTCCCGTCTTGTTGTATTTAAGACCAACTTAATACTATTCAATTTTCTAAAATAAGCATGTCTTAAGCTTTTCTTTAAGACAACTCTTTTCTAAGCAAAAGCATTTTTTTAAGTATGCATTTATATCTAGTTTATCAACATAAATGCTACAGCCAGAAATACATAAAAGTAATTAAAACGCCACGGTAAAGAAAACAAAATATATCGACTTCGATATGGAGTACTTGAGATTATTTACATTCGCTTCAAAATCTTATTACCTATTTTGGCGCGGCTGAGTCGTAAACCACGTGTTACCTACCTTATCGATGCCAAATAAAAACATACAACAACACTATCTGCAATTGTTATGAACATGGTATAAAAGGGTATTAAAGCGACGAAGACGTGCATACGTTTCGTTGTAAACATTACAACAAATCATCATAACAGTATATAACATAACATAACTGGCAAATCGAAGCTTCTAGAATGTTCCACAAGAGGCGTGCGCAGCGGTTCACCTTAACAAATTGAGATCATTCAATATTAAACTGTATGCGTCTCGCTATATGTTCGAATATTGTTTGAGGCGTTAGATGGTTTCGGAGCCCTCTTGCGCGTGCAATTAGAGCGAAATGCAAGAGCCGACACCCTACAGCCGTGGGTGTTGCTACTAGTGGGTTGTACGAGGGGGTGGGTAGGGCATGACGGGGGCTGAGGGCTGAGGGCTGGGGTGCATATGGCGGAACATTCTCGTCGTCGCAATGGGAGTGTATATAATCTGCGCTTTGCATATCGATTATGTGTATCAACTGCGCATTATTATCACTAACTCGGTAATAAAAAGGAACTTGAAAACAGAATTACGGAGTCTTAACAAAAATTGGCTGTGATACTACTAGGAAACACACCCGACACCGAGATGTATGGAGATAGGAAAAAATTCTTGCATGTCTCACAGTTAGTGCCAACTTATTACAGTTATGACTTTTTTAAACATTAGACCACTAAGTTTCTAAGTTTTTTAAATGCATTTATTAACTACTATCATTGCCAAATGAGCTGCTTTTTTAACATATGTTTAATCTGTTTGTTAGATCATAGTGCCATTTTGCACTAACAAAAAGTTAGCATGCGAAACTCTTGTCGTAGCCCGTATGTTAATGGAATTTAATTGAAATTGGACAAAATTCTTCGTAGGGCAGGGATAATTGTCATTATGCTATTGCCATTTATACCAATGTGCTCTTCGCTTACCCCTTTATAAAAGTGAAACTTTGTTATCTTGGGTATATGAGTGCAAATTTGTTTTCTTTTATATTAAGTATCTAGTCCTAGTAGTTGTTTACATTAAACACGTGACACTCAACAATGTTTCTACGAAATGAAAGTTGCACGTGAGCGATTAACTGCTCATTGACTCCTGTACTCTTTCTAAAATTCAATAATGGAGTGTTCCAGTTTGTACCTAAATCATCCATGATATCGGACTCCGTTTGATAACCTAATAATATAATAGTTAATCCCATTATTATGGGCCCAGTGGTGGCATTATGTTGTTTCACCATCATCTTGGTTATTAACTCCATCGGATTTAGTTAAATTCTTGATTATGCTGATACATCTTCTTCTTGTTCTTCTTCTTCCTCTTCTACCTGGCATTACTCCCGGCTATTGTCAGGGTCTGCAATCCTACTTAAACTCCTCCACTTCGCCCGGTCTGATACATGTTACTTAGATTTAAATGTGGAACAACTAAATAAAATTTAGCATATCGAAAATCATTGCATACGGTTCGTATTTGGACTGCGTAAATATGTACACTCCGCCTTCGCAGGAATAGTCTGTCACTCTTATATTCTACCCTATTCAATCCAACTATATCTTCGTATCTTAAATCTTAAGGTAGTCTTTCTGTAATTTGTTAACATACCTATATCTGAACTTTATTTATTACTTCTTGTATATCCCTTCAATGTACACCCTTACCCTTAGGCTTAATTGGCCCGGCTTTATTGTCCCCTATTTGTAGGTATTTTAACTATAAAGCCGCATTTTGTACAGATAAGTGTTCCTTTTTGTTGATTAACAATATCGGTTGTAGTGTACAATAAAGTATATCTAATACATTCATTCAATCAAAGCCCCCTAGCAATTTCTCATGCAGAACCAGCTTGACGTGTTGTATAGCAGCGGCCAGGTGGCCCTTCTGGGCCAAGATACAATCATTTCCCAACGGTAGTTAACTGGGATGAATGGTTTCGAGATTCACCATTGAGATAACTGTTTATTTGAAATGTTTTAAATAATTGTAATGGTGGTAGGGCCACGCAGCAGCCTCGGCTGTTGCACGAATGGGCAGGCTCGTCCGGGTAAGTACCACGACCTCACAGAAGACCGGCGTAAAGTGGAAGTATAATACTTTCGCGTTTCGCCTGGTGAGTGCGGTAGCCGGAGCCCAAATTGCAAAAGGTTGTCAACGCATCTGTAACCCTTGGGTGTAGCGGATGTCCATGGGCGGCGGTATTCACTTAACATCAGGTGAACCGTCTGCTCGCTTGGCAACTTTTAACATAAAAAAACACATAACAATAACATTTACGAGTATATCAGCTTTGTCAGGGAAGACTTATTTTCGAATTTCATTTCATTTGAAGTCAGATAGACACTGAGTCACACTTATAGCAATAGATAAATGTAGAGACAGAGATAGAGACATAATTTTATAATATATCACTCTAAACGTAGTATTTCAATGAATTTATTTATTTGTTTATACTTTATTTCAATAACTCGATTTAACGCTGACCACTCTATAGCTACCATGCCATCGACCTATGTAGAGTTTAATATACAATGTACAGTGTTTTCTTTACTCAGATTGAATACACGCAGTACCATACAAAGATTTATGTATTTATTCATTAAATCGATTCATTTGGCCTCACCAAATGGTAATTGTTAGCCTTCGAGCGAGAAGACAGCGTGTTATTTGGTTTTCATGACATATTAAACGTATGATTCACACATGAGTCAGGCTAAAGTAAATAACTACTTACCACATATGTGATAGCCCAGCTTTTTTTATAAAACACTTATTCAACACTCCAGAAGCAATTATTACATATCAAAATGACTGACAAACGTTTACGAACAATGATGTTCTAATGAACATGACACACGTGCATACTGCGCGGCGTTTAGTAATATTTCATCCATAATTAATATGGCATATGCTTCTCCAGCGACGTCGATCGCCAAAATTGTGATATCTAGGCTCATTTGCATGATATAATCAATATAAGTTCTCTGAAACACGATGCATCTTATCTTATAAGTATTATTCCGATCGGTTCAATAGTTTTCGCAGTATAATCAAACAAAAAAACCGGCTCTCCATTTACTAATATAAGATATTGATATAAATGAAGGTGACAGATGGTATAGACCGTAAGCTATGGAGAAAGATTTGAAATCGAATTACACCAATTGGATTCGGGATTGGAATAAAAAACCTTCTCTTTCGCCGCTTCAAGTGCGAAGGCCCTCCCGTTACGTACCAATCCTCCACTTTCACGTCTACAGATGACCCGTATAATTTTTTAAATTAAGCATGAAAAATATATCAAATCAATAAAACCATTACACATTATAACCATGTATAATTAATTATTTTCCGCCGACCACCAGTTTTTATCAAAAAGAAAAAAAAATGTAAAGTCCATTATTTTTAAACATTGTCTATATTTTGCCCAACTTCCTTATCATGTTGCGTGACGATTTCCTCATGGACGTTTTTTGATGCCTCTGACAACTTTTTCCAGTTGGTGCTAAAACTGGTACTAAGACTGCTGCTCTTAAGAGATTGCTCATGATTTTGTCGAGTTTTGTTAAAGAGAGATTGTTCCATGCATGATACGATGATGCATAATACGAGACTTCCTAAGTAATCGGACTTATCGCTATCGCGTTGAGGGCGTGTGTTCGACTACGCATCCCGTTCGAGCCGGGGTGCCCCAAGGGTCGGTGTTGGGCCCAGTCCTGTTCACTCTCTACACCAATGACATGCCGCGTGTCAAAGATGTAGAACTTGCTCTTTTTGCCGACGACACCTGTCTCTATACTACATGCAGAACACCCGAATTGATCCATCGACGCCTCCAAGCTGCAGCCATCATCATCGGTGACTGGTTTCGGCAATGGAGGATCGAGATTAATCCCGCCAAAAACGCGGCCGTCCTTTTCCCTCATAAAAAGAATATACCCAATCCACCCCCCGTTAAACTCATGGACAGCCCAGTAACATGGGTTAATAAAGTCAAATATCTCGACTGCCAGATTAAATTCACCCAGCACGTGACCCAGGTAAGGAACCGGGCAGCCTTCGTACTCGGTCGCCTCTACCCGCTCTTCAATAAAACGTCAAAAATGTCCCTTCGGAACAAGGTGACCTTATATAAGGCAGTAGTTCGCCCTATCATGACGTACGCGAGCCCCGTCTTCGCTCACATTGCTCCGAAGCAAATACACCTTCATGTCATCCAAAATCGATTCTTGCGC